TGCAACCCCAAGGGAAAGTTATAGGTTGTTAGGCAAATGTAAAACGAAGGTTGGGCCTTGCTGGAGGAGTTTTATTCAAAGCAAACTGCCAAGGGGGTCCCATAACCCCAGCCGCGTAAGGAACACAAAATCATGGAACATAACACCGGTATGACGGAAACTAAGGCGCAAGAGTGGAACAAAACACCGAGTAAAAGGCCAAGCCTTCCACCCTTTGCCAAGTATATAGATGCATTAATTAAATAAGAGATAATGTGATATCCCAACATATCCATGTCCCAACATGGAACAACCTGCAAGGCACCTGCAACTAGCAACACTATAAGAGGGGCTGAGCAAAAGCGGTAATTAGCCAAATAACGGTTTGCTAAGAAGGTGGGTTAGAGGCTTGACATGGCAATAGGGGAGGCATGATAAACAAGTGGTAGGTAGCGCGACATAGCGATAGAGCGAACAACTAGCAATCAAATATAGAAGTGATATCGAGGGTAATGATCATCTTGCCTGAGATCTCGCAAGGAAGAAGAACGAGTCCATGAAGAAGACAAATGGACGTAGTCGAATGAATCCTCACAACTCCGGAATGAAATCGAAGCTAACGAGAGAAGCAAACCGGAAAGAAGCAAACAACCATCACGTAAACATGGCATGATGCACAACCAAGGGTGATGCATGTCCGGTTTAATGAGTCATGGCATGGCAAAGTGCAACAAACAACACTACACGTTAAGTGGAGCTCAATATGCAACAAGTTGCATATTGACGAAACATCACATTCAAATATTTAGTTCACTCTCGTTTATGTATCCAACAATATTAAATATTATTAAACATGGCAAGGAGTGAGGCATAAGTAAACTAACTATTTAGTCAAGTTTAAATGAGGCCAGAAATAACAAACAACAATTCCAGAAAATCCCCATATGCATATTATGAATTCGGTACTGTTCTGCCCTAAACCATATTTTAGAGTTGTTAAACATGCAAGATGAGTGCACCATGTTAAACTAGGCATTTTTCTACCCCATTTGCATATAAAGTTTATTTAAATCCGAGCTATGGTTAATTAGTTATGAATTAAATCATTTTAACATGAAAAATATGCAAATTAATGCAAACAACATTTTAAACTTTTTAAACATGGATGAAAGTTACATATTATGAAACTAGACAAAAATCTAAGCATTTTACATATATAAGTTATTTACATATGATGCATGGTTTGTGAGATATGATATGCATGAACATGGAGGGTTCTTCTACAAATCTGCCAAACTCCTGGATAAATGAATAAATTTGCAGCAAGGGAAAAAAACTACACGGGGAAAAACTGGTTGTGCCAACAGTGCATAGGAAGGGGCTGGAGGGGGCTTCTTACCCATGGCCATGGCCCAGGTTGGTGGAGCAATGGGCCGGCTGGTGCGTTGGGCCTTGGCGTCGAAAGCGTGCATAGCTGGACCTCGCTGGAAGAGGCAGGACGCGGTAAACGCGGTTGGGACGAGCGGGCATCCTCTGCTTGATAGGAAGCAGAGCCGCTGCGGCGCGGGCAACTCCGAAGGAGGACGGAGCGACGGGAACGGGAGGAGATCGCTGGACATGGCGCAGGGCTGCCCGAATCTCGCTGGAGATGAAGCAGATCGGGTGGTGGCGCAACAAACGTGGCCGGCTGTGGGCTCCTGTCCATGGGGGAAAAGAGAGAGGCCACGGGTGAGGGACACGGAGAGCAAACAGGGGAGAAAGAGAAGGGAAGCGAGGTCGGCCTGTTCCGACGATGCTCCAACGGGATCCCGGTCGCCGGAGGAGGGCGGCGGCAAGGCAGCGGGGTCGAGCAGGAGGAGGCGCTCGGGGAGGTTGGTGCGGGGAGCAACGGCGTACGGGCGACGGCGTGGTTCGGGCCCAGGCGGGCTCGCGATGGGCTTCGCAGGGCCGCACGGCTGGAGGTGGAGAATCGAGCGAGGTGGTGGCTGGCGAAAGGCGACGCGCCAAGTGGCGGCGGGGAAGCGGGAAGGCGCGGAAATTGAGGAGGGTAGGTGGCTGATGTCTACTACACAACCTTCTTCTTGTAGACGTTGTTGGGCCTCCAAGTGCAGAGGTTTGTAGGACGGTAGCAAATTTCCCTCAAGTGGATGACCTAAGGTTTATCAATCCGTGGGAGGCGTAGGATGAAGATGGTCTCTCTCAAACAACCCTGCAACCAAATAACAAAGAGTTTCTTGTGTCCCCAACACACCCAATACAATGGTAAATTGTATAGGTGCACTAGTTCGGCGAAGAGATAGTGATACAAGTGCAATATGGATGGTAGATAAAGGTTTTTGTAATCTGAAAATATAAAAACAGCAAGGTAACTAATGATAAAAGTGAGCACAAATGGTATTACAATGCGTTGAAACAAGGCCTAGGGTTCATACTTTCACTAGTGCAAGTTCTCTCAACAATAATAACATAATTGGATCATATAACTATCCCTCAACATGCAACAAAGAGTCACTCCAAAGTCACTCATAGCGGAGAACAAACGAAGAGATTATGGTAGGGTACGAAACCACCTCAAAGTTATTCTTTCTGATCGATCTATTCAAGAGTCCGTAGTAAAATAACATGAAGCTATTCTTTCCCTTCGATCTATCATAGAGTTCATACTAGAATAACACCTTAAGATACAAATCAACCAAAACCCTAATGTCACCTAGATACTCCAATGTCACCTCAAGTATCCGTGGGTATGATTATACGATATGCATCACACAATCTCAGATTCATCTATTCAACCAACACAAAGAACGTCAAAGAGTGCCCCAAAGTTTCTACCGGAGAGTCAAGACGAAAACGTGTGCCAACCCCTACGCATAAGTTCACGAAACTCGCAAGTTGATCACCAAAACATACATCAAGTGGATCACGTGATATCCCATTGTCACCACAGATAAGCACATGCAAGACATACATCAAGTGTTCTCAAATCCTTAAAGACTTAATCCGATAAGATAACTTCAAAGGGAAAACTCAATCCATTACAAGAGAGTAGAGGGGGAGAAACATCATAAGATCCAACTATAATAGCAAAGCTCGTGATACATCAAGTTTGTATCACCTCAAGAACACGAGAGAGAGAGAGAGAGATCAAACACATAGCTACTGGTACATACCCTCAGCCCCGAGGGTGAACTACTCCCTTCTCATCATGGCGAGCGCCGGGATGATGAAAATGGCCACCGGAGAGGGATTCCCCCTCTGGCAGGGTACTGGAACAGGTCTAGTTTAGTTTTCGGTGGCTACAGAGGCTTCTAGCAGCGGAACTCCCGATCTATTATGTTCTTCGATGTTTCTAGGGTATATATATATACATATATATAGTGTTACTATTCATCACCCAGGGTGCAGAATAAATTATTTTTCATCCGAGGTAATCTTATGATAATTTCATAATTAAATTACGTTTGCAATTTAAATAGTTACATTCCTATTGATTCATTACGTAAAATTTGGCATAAGAAAATAAAAATATAGGTCATAAGACAAGAAAATTTGCCGTTTATGTGTATTTTACACTATGTTTTTATGTTTGTAATTTTACATAACAAAAAATATTTTTTACAACGATTATATATTTTCTTACGGTGTCTTTTTACGTCAGAAATAAGAGAAAAGTTACGGAACATAAAATTACGGGGCATTGATGGTAAAATAGAGGGGGGGGGTGAAGAATAGCTATTCCTCACCCAGGGTGACGAATATCGCGACCCTATATATATATATAGATAGATAGAGAGAGAGAGAGAGAGAGCCTGAAGACAGCACTATTCTAATCCCAGGATTAGAATAGTTATTTGGATCACAGCAACCCCTATATAGAGCCCAAAGACAGGTTCCCGAACTTCCCTGGACTGCCGGCCCAGCCCGACAGAATCCCACCTGGACCCCGATCCCGACAGAATCCCACCTGGACCCCGATCTCGATCGAGCCGCCCCTCCCCAACCCCCCTCCTCGCCACTCCTCCCCTCGATCTCCGCCGTGATTCGCCGCCAAAAATCCGCCGGATCCAGCGCCTCCCTCCCTTCTCCAGATTCTGGCCGACTGGATCGAGCTCCGCCCCCTCCGACTCCACCTCCTGCCCGACCATCGGCGCGGGCGAGCGAGCGACGGCAGATGCCGGCGCGAGGGAGCCCGCGTCGCCTGGAGCCGGCAGAGCCAGCGAAGCCGCCAAATTTCTGCGATGAACGGCCGCCATGGACTTCCGGAAGCCTCATCCTTGGTCCATCGTCACCGCCAGACGGCTTGGCAGTGCTCATGACGGCCAAGGCACAACCTACGGCGAACAACGCACCCAAGGAAGCATCTCGGCGGTGAAGGCCGCATCGGCGACGCCTTCAAATATAAGAACGGTATATGAATTTCCTCCCTGATCTTGCCTTCTTCCTCAATCTTGCCTTCTCTGACCTTCTTGCTTCGTGCAGATGAACTTCGCGCCCCCTGCAAGACATGGATTGCCATGCGGTTCCTCTCCTACCTCCACGACGAATTTTTCTCAAGGTGGCCTATCAATTGCTGGAAAAAAGGTTGGCCGAACTTCTAGCCAGGGTATGGTTGAACTTCTTCCTTCCTTTGGTTTGTTATTTTCTTATAGCTATGTGAAGTTCAGGTGGTGTGTGAGCATCAATCCAGGCTACAAAAGCTTTTTTAAAACTGCCTGCTTACAGGCATGTGAAGTTCAGGTAGTATGTGAGCCTCAGTCCAGGCTACAAACACTATAAAATCTGCCTGCATTCACATTCACATGTGGAAAAGCCATGTGAAGTTCAACTAGTAAGTGTGCTAGAGTTCAGGTTGGTATGTGTCTGGTTCTGTGCAAAAAAAGGAAAATAGAACATGCATGTGATATGACATGAAGGTCAGGTTGGTATGCACTAGCAGTCCAACCATTCAAAAACTCATGAAGGTTCAGGTTTTTTAACTGTAGACAATATTTCCCCTTTGCAAAACAAGAAGTTAAAGTTGTGGAGAGTGCTCAGTTCAGGTACATATAAGTAATCAAATATTGTAGAATTAAAAAACATGATGTGAAGTTCATTCTGTGAAGGGTGCTTAGTTCAGGTACAAAGACATTGGAGCTTAGTGCATAGTGTGATGGCTCTCACCACTTTTATATGAGAAGTTCAGGCTGTGAATAATGCTAAGTTCAGTTACAAAGGTATATGCAGATATAACTTGTGTGCTAATAGACATTTTTTTCTTTTATGTCAGCAAGACGAGAGACGCATGAAGAAGCTTAGAAGTTCCCAGCAGCAAGTACACAATCCAAAGCCTGTACGCGTTGCACCACCCCCTCAATGGGTCACACCTCAAATGCACCAACAACATTACCAACCTGCTCCAGACCAAAAATGGATGACACCCGAAACACACGGATACTTCCAAGATGATGGGTCACAGCCCTATCCGCACAGGTTTGCGCCTCCACCTAATTGGGTGACGCCGGAAATCCCCCGCGGATTCTTTGTATCCACCAGCAGACTCCCAAGCACGCCGATGGAGGAGGGGGTTAGCTCAAGTCCTGCGTGTAACTCTGGAGGTTATCCTGGTGTGCCTCATCAATGCCAAAGCGAAGCAACTAAACCGGATCCCAGGACAAATCCAACAGCAACACACACACGGAGGAGAGTGATCTGCACACTACCACCGTTTGGTCCTGCTGCTGCTGCTACAAGTTAGAATTCTATGGGGCATAAGGTAGATGGATTGCTTCACAAAAAAAAGAGCAAACCAAGACCAAGACCGCAATACCTCCACAACCACCTCAAGCAAAATGGACGCAAACAAGAGAGAGGCCATCTTCAGCCCTCCTTCCTCCTTGTGATCCACTGCTGCATCCTGCTATGATTACTCCGCCATGCCCCATCCCAGAGGGACAGCAGCCGACACCAGTGGAGTTGCGATCATACACGCACGTAAGTGAAACAAAAAATATTTATATACGCATCTTGTATTATCTGCACATTTTCTGCTCCCTCCAGGATAACAAGTTCATAAACTGCATTTTAGGTGCTGTTTGGATTATTTTTTTCTTTTTCTGCAGACGCCAGATCTACCAGATTATCTAATACCAAGACTAAAGATGCGATTCAAAGATGTAGAGAAAGCAAGGGAATTTTATAACAGATACGCCATACATGCTAGTTTTGGAATCAGGAAGACGGGTGGAAATGACAACCACAAGTATTTTGTTTGTGCCTTCCAAGGGATACACACATCTTCTGTTTCAGAGGCCAACAGGAAGCGAAACAAAACATCACAGAGGATGGGCTGCAATGCAAGAATGAGGGTGAAGGTGCAGGAGGATGGCACATGCGTGGCAGTGGACATTGAGTACAATCATAATCACGAGCTCATGCAAACTGATGACATGCTGGTATTTTTGCACTCACACAAGAATTGTGACCCCACTATTTTGGAGTACGTAAAGCTCCTGTAGTACCATGATGTCAAGCACACAACAATCATGTCCATGCTATCTGAAAATGAAGATGGAAGCTACTTCCTAAGCATGACCGGACGAGACTTGCTAAACCAGTAAGTATTCAAACACCCACATACTGCAATGTAAAATAGCATCCTAGCTCACAACCCTTTGCTAGCAAAAAAATAAACAAATGCATGTTTGCATGTGATTTGCAGGAAAGCCATGAATGCAAGGAAAGATGATTTGGATGATGTATTGAAACTTGTTTCATTCTTCAAAGACATGAAGGCAATTGTCGGTGTACTAGAGTAGGGGTACCCTAGTACCCCGGACTTGTGCACGGGCGGTCGCAGCATCCCGCGGCAAGGCTTGCCGGGTGACCGCCAAGACCCTCCGTGGTTCCCTTGAAGACCATTCAAGAACAAAGTATTCAAACCAAGGCCCCGGCAAGAGGAGCTTGCCGGGAAGGCCAACCAAGGCCCCGGCAAGAGGAGCTTGCCGGGAAGGCCAACCCAGGCCCCGGTAAGAGGATCTTGCCGGGAAGAGACAAGACCCCGGCAGGAGGAGCTTGCTGGGAAGGCCACTCAAGGCATACCAAGAAAGCTTGCCGCGACGCACCCTACGTCCCGGCAAGGCCCGGTGAGCAACAAGCTCCCAAACACGACAAGACTACGACCGCGGCAAGGAGCTTGCTGCGGGAAACCCCCACTTCGTGCCCGCGCTCCAGCACACCTGCTAACGTGTCGCTCTAGGACTCTCCTAAGCACACGTGGCAGGAGGCCGTGCAGCTAGGGGTGCGCGGTGGCAAGCGGAGATGAAGAGAAGGCCATCGTGGCAAACGGTGGCGCTCCTAACGGTCACTTTTTGCACTGTTTAGGCAACTCAGACGGGCATTCAATGCCCTTGTCCCCTGCCGTCAGAGTTAGGTAGGATACACTGTGTCTACAGTAGCGGTAGCTGCACCTACCGCATCCTTTTCCATTTTTACCCTTCTAGTCTACGTTGCCACCTGTCGGTGACCCCTTGAAAGTATAAAAGGAGGCCCAAGCGCAACGTAGAAGGGGTTCGGCTCATTCGAAACATCAGGAACACTCTCACGCTCGGTCTGGTAGCGTCCATCGCTCCTGAGCAAGAATTGAATACACACAAACAAGCAGCATTAGGGTTTTACGCATCCGTGCGGCCCGGAGCTGGGTAAAAACCGGTCGCGTGTACTGCCTCGATCCGCTCTTTGTGCAGCCTCCGCCCCCCTCCGAACCGAAAGGGGCGCTGTCCCCATAGGTGTTGGTGGATCAGCTATCCTCCCCGACATCTTTGGCGCGCCAGGTAGGGGAGCGTCGAGATTGTGCGAACCCGATCTGGCGTGCACGCGAGCTAAATCTTCATCGTCTTCATCGACATGCCACCGAAGAAGAAGGATTCGGAGGCAGCTGTTCCGTCTGCGTCGCTTTCACCGCCTCCGGAGCAAATGGGTGGTGGAGTGGACGCCGGCGGAAGAATGGGCGTCGACGAGGGAGCCCTCAGT